CCTGCCATACCCAAAAACGATCTCATCTGTTTTCTGGTCTCTAGCAAGGGACAGCTTTCTATGGCGGTGACCTTATCGCCTTGAGGTTTTATTACTCCATTTCCAATCACAAACCCAAGGTACTCAGTTTCAGCCTTGGCAATGGCACACTTAGCTGGATTAACAGTCAACCCTGCAGACTGAAGACGTCCCAATACCTTCCCCAGATGTTGCAGGTGTTCTTCCCAGGTAGAACTGAAAATCACTATGTCATCAAGGTAGGCTGCAGCAAAATCAGACATGTCAGACAGTATCTGGTCCATCAGTCTCTGGAATGTTGCTGGGGCACCATGTAGTCCAAAGGGCATGACTCTAAACTGGAACAAGCCCCACGGGATCCGGAAAGCAGTCAGCTCTTTTGAGCGCTTGGTCAGTGGTACCTGCCAATAACCCTTGCAGAGGTCTATTGTTGTCAGGGATGTGGCCTTCCCAAGGTGCTCAACCATGTCATCAATGCGGGGAGTTGGATATCAAACTGATATTGCATTCAGGTACCTGAAGTCTATGCAGAAACGGATACTGCCATCCTTCTTTGGCACCAGGACCAGTGACTGGTTGTACCAGGCCTTCTGGGGCTGCTGTGCTTCTGCTGGCTTGGGCCAGCTCCGTCATCTTCTCCAACCGTTCCCGTCTGGACAACATTGACAGCCTGTGATCTTTCTTGGTCACCCTCCCAGGTCTCCCTCAGAAGAGACAAGGGGCCTCGTACCTCATGGCCATACAATAGTTCGAAAAGTGAAAAACCTGTAGAAGCCTGAAGGTACTTCTCTATAAGTAAAGAGGAGGTAGGGCAGCCACTGATCCCAGTCTGTACCAGTTTCATTGACAAATTTGCGTAACATTTGTTTCAGAGTCTGATTGAAGCGCTCTGTTAGGGTGGTATCTGTCTGAGGGTGGTATAGCGTTGTCCTCAGGCTCTTAATCCCAAGGAGCTGGTACACCTGGTGAGGTCACAGGTGAGGACGACTCAGAGCACAGACAGTGGACTCTGGACTTTGTTGACTGGTGTCAGCAGAACCACCTGCTGATCAACGCCGGGAAAACCAAGGCGTTGGTGGTGGACTTCCGGAGACGCAGACCCACCACACTGACACCGGTGAACATCCAGGGAGTGGACATTGAGATAGTGGACTCTTATAGGTACCTGGGTGTTCACCTGAATAATAAACTGGACTGGAGCCACAACACTGATGCTCTTTACAGGAAGGGTCAGAGCAGACTCCACCTGCGGAGGCGGCTGAGGTCATTTTGGAGTCCAGGGAGCGCTTCTAAAGACCTTCTATGACTCTGTGGTGGCATCTGTCATTTTTGACAGTGTTGTATGTTGGAGCAGCGGTTTATCGGCAGCTGAGAGGAAGAGGTTGGATAAACTCATCAGGAAGGCCAGCTCTGTTCTGGGATGCACCCTGGACCCAGTGCAGGTGGTGTGAGACAGAAGGACTCTGGCCAAAATAACATCTCTGATGGACAGAGTCTCCCACCCCATGCATGTAAATGTTACTGAACTGCAGAGCTCCTTCAGTGACAGACTGCTGCATCCTAGATGCACGAAGGAGCGTTTCCGCAGGTCCTTCCTCCCTGCAGCTGTCAGACTGCACAATCACAAAACTGCTCCCAACAAACAGATGTTTACATCTGCGCTGTAACTGCAATAAGTTAATTAACCGATTCGCACTACAACCTGGTTTGCCTCTTATCTGTAGTTATTTTTATTTAATTTAATAACTGCACAGTACTCTCTGTATATAGTAACCATTGTCCTTAATGTAAATATGTAAGAAAAATTGTGTACGTTTCTGTTCTGTGTCCTGTTTGTATGTGTGTCTTTTTGGCTGCTGTTACAACCAAATTTCCCCTTGTGGGACAATTAAAGGATTATTCTGTTCTATTTGCTTCAACAAAGTGGACATAAAGTTAGTGCCACGGTCAGTAAGAATCTCACGAGGAAAACCAACCCTTGAGAAGAACTGTATGAGACAGAAGGCGACTGCTTTGGCTTTTATTGATCTCAAAGGAAAGACCTCTGGATACTTTGTAGCGTAATCTGTCACAACCAGCATGTAACAGTTGCCTGCTTTGCTTCTTTCTAGAGGACCAACAACGTCCATTCCTAGCCGTTCAAATGGAGGGCTGATAATTGGTAGAGACTGGAGAGGAGCTCTGGAGAGGGATTAAGAGAAGACTTCTGGCACTGAGGGCAGCTTTTACAGAACAGTGTCACATCCAAGCGCACTCCAGGCCAATGAAAATATTTTCTAATACGGGCCATGGTTTTGTGCTTTCCCAAGTGGCCAGCCCATGGAATGGAGTGTCTCAAGGAGAGCACCACCAACTGTAATGCTGAACCCTGCTAACGATACAGAATGCCATCTTTCAGCAGAAACTCCCCCTTGCTCTTCAATTCTTGCTCAGTCCCTTGGTTCCTCTCTGCAGCTTTCTGGAACAGAGATGTTAGAGATGAATCGTCATGTTGCATTTCAATAATATTAACAGGGATTTTAAAACCCAAAGGTAAATCAGGCTCTGTGCTAGGAGCTGATCGAACAGCAGTATGTAGAAACTTCTCTTGCCTTCTCTGTCCACGTGACTTATGAAACTTCCCGGGTGCAGTCTCTATGTCCGCATCATAGAAGGGCAAGGCACGGAGTGGGTGTAGGGACTCCTCTTTCTTCTTAGCTTGAGCTCTTGTTACTGCAACATTGCATGTATGACTAGGATTCAGCAAGTCAAACACAGGCAGATCTCGACCCAGCACTACTGGAAATGGCAGATTCTCTGCAACACCAATATTTAGAATATACGTTTGTCCTTGTACTTTGATGTACAGATCTGCTGTTGGATATGACCTGTCATCCCCATGAATGCAGCAAACGGATTCTCTCCACATTATTAACTTTATTTGCGGGAACAAAGTCTCGGTGCACAAGAGTCTGAGTACTTCTTGAGTCAACAAGGGCCTTTAATGGTTTCCCATCAACCTCAACCAATGTCATTTTGAACCCATTCTTAAACTCCACTTTAGGCTCCACACTTTGTCGGGGCACAAAACACATCCGAGTTATTTTTGTAGAATTCTTTGGGCACATCGGTTTTGTGTGGCCCTCCATCCCACACAAATAACAAATCACAGTCTTGGGTGGAGGTCTTGACGGCATATTGACAGACTGGCTCTTTGGAGG